TTCTTTGTGAACCACACGTGTCACGAGAGTTTCTCTGTCGAACGGGGCAAACCTTACAAAGAGATCATTATCTGGGACCTTATTTGAAGAACCGATTGAAGATTGAGCCTCCTAAAAAAGAAGACAAAGGAGTTCAACGTGGACATCAATTGGGTTAAATTGTATAAGTTCTAATTTTGGGTTGTTATTATTGGAATTTTTTTTTCTGACCAAGATTGTAAGATGTTGATTTACAGATACAAAAATCATGTATCTGACTTAGTTTAAAATATACATATTATGATTGGTATTCCTTATGCCTATGGGGACAGATTTTTTATCTTTTACTTACCAGAAAAAGATATAAGTTAAAATGCAAGATAGATTTATTTTTCTAATAAATAGTTCTAATAGTAGTTTACTATTACTGCTACTCTTTGCTGAACAAGATTAATTGATAAATATTTTTTATAAATTGGCTATTGTTTAGGGATGAGAAATGGGAAGAAGAGGTTCTTTTTCTGTAATATTAGAGAAGGTGTTATGTTACTGCAAATGTTTATGTTTGTTTGGAGGGAGGGGGAAGTCACTTTTTATATGTCTCTCTTTTTTCTTTCTCTTTCTCTTGATATTTTTTTCTTTTTTGTTTGTATATCTTTTTAGTTTTGTACTAGTTTTTATATATGTAAAACCTCAATAAAAATATTATAAAAAAAGATCTGGGTATGTTTAGCTTACAGAAGAGATAACTGAAGGAAAATATTATAGCAGTCTTCAAATATCTGAGGGATTGTCACAAAGAAGAGAGAGTGGACTTATTCTCAAAGGCCAGAACCAGAAATACAAGAGAGCTCTCCATCCCTGGGAGCCTTGTAGGAGTCATCCTCTCCTGGATGCCTGAAAAATGAGCCTCAGACAATGGGAGCATCTTCAACAGGGCCTTTGCTGCTGATCTTTAATAACTGGCAGGTTCATAATGGGAGCAGCTTTTCCCTCAGATAGTCAAGATTTACCATATATATACTCATGGATAAGCTGAGAATTTTAGGTCCCAAAACACACCCCAAAAGTTGGGTTTGGCTTATCCATGAGAATATACACAATACTTTTTTTAAAGTACCCATATATACTCCTGGATAAGCCCATCCGTGGATAAGCTGTCCCTTGACGTTTTAACCAAAATATCATGAAAAATGCACCACCAGTGGATAAGCCAATTCTGAAAATTAAAACATATGAAAGTTTCAAGGATCAGTTTATCTGCACATGGCACATTTTTCATAGTATTTTGGTTAAAGATTCAAGGGTTGGCTTATCCACGGATGGGCTTATCCAGGAGTATATAGGGTAGGCTTTTTAGTGGCTTTAGTAATTAATACCTTTAATGTTAAATTATGTCTGGCAAACCACTAGCAGCCAGTACAGATCTTTCTCATGATCCCTGGGCTCTGAGTGATCCAGTTAGAAGCCTAGCTGCTACATTTTGTACCAACTACAACTTTGGGATAGTTTCCAGGGTAACTCCCTGTTTCAACAGTCAAGAATAACTGTCATCAAATCTGACTGCTTCAAGAAATGATGCAGCTGGCATACTGGATGTAACTGTACCAAGATGTTCCTCACCACAGCTAAATGTTAAGGAGCACTCCCTTATTAATAGGGAGCTGAACCCCATCCCAAACAGTCTAAACCTCAAACCTCAGATCTAGTTTTTTGTTTTTTTAATCAACAGCACCTCCATCTTGACCAGAATTTCATTTTAACTTATTCTCTCTCACTCACTTCCTATTGAACTTGGGCAACATTCAAGGGTATCAATTGCTTCTTTGTAATTTGATGGCAAGGAGCATCAGAACTGGGTATCCTCATTCCAAGTGCCAGATGACACCCCCCTCCCCCAGTGTTTTCAAACAGACCCTTAAGAGTATGGTGGACACGTTGAACACCAGTGGGAGAGCACAGGCCATGATCTAGATATCAAGCATTAGTTGCTCAACACCATCTCTCTTGGATATATATTTTCTAATTCCACCAACACAAACCCCACTGCCAGAAAAATCAACTATGGGAAAAGGAAAATCGGGAAAAAAGAAACACAGGAGCAGACCTCACCCTGCGCTGAGGAGAACAAGGTCTGAATGGCTGCCTGCACCCTTGCCTGAGCAACCTGCTGGGTGTTTAGCATGTCTGCATGAACACATATGCCTATACTGTAAGTGACAGGAAGATTGCTCTGGGGGGTTGCTATACCCCTCCCCAATCCATTACAAAATCATGCCTGTAATTCACCCAAAGCTTTGGAATACAGAACTACAGAATCAAACCACCCTAGACATTTTTAAAGGTTGAAATAGGTGAGGATTCCTGAGGTCTGAATCTCCTCGCACCTGCACAGAAGCTGGCTTTTCTATCTGGAAGGTGTGATCTTTCTCCACAAGCAGCAGGGCTCTATGGATGCAGTGTGGGATGGTATCCTGCAATGATAAAATTTATTTTTCTATGACTCCTGCTCCAGTCAAAAGTTTTCTTTTAAATCCAACTAAATAAGGATTGGCAGAAACGTCCTCTCCATTTCCCTGGTAACCTTTGCACCATAAGCAACCTTTTTTTCTACAACAAGGAAGAGGCCAAATGAAAGTGCTGCCAGCATCTCAGACACTTACCTGGTAGGCCAACCCCTTCACACCTGAGGCAGGGTTTTCCTTATCCAAATGTTTCTAGCATCTTAAGCCATGGAAGAGCAACACAAGAAGGAGTGGCTGGGCAGAAACATCTCTATATTTGGCTTAAAGGCTTCTTCAACTCCTGCCCTCTGCCATCCCAACCCCATCTTATCACTGCTGGACTCTGCCCAAAGGTGCTTCTTGGTCACCATCCTTTCTAATGCTTACTATTATTTCCCCTGACAGAGCAGGCCCTGAAAAGTCTTTCCAGCCACGCACAAAACAGACATGCCATTGGTGGAAGTGGCATCTGCTTGCCCTCCGCTCCTGCTGGCATCTCCCCCCACAGCTCAGTTGCAGCTGTATGCTCCACACACCAAGGAAAAGGGCATCCAGAGAACGCTGGGAAAGAACTGGGAAAGGAAAACAATGGTTCTGTCTGCCCAACGGGCACCCAGCAATGGCAAAGTGGGATTCAGAAAAAGGAAGGAAGTGGAAAAAGGAATCAGCGGCAGAGCCTTACCTGCAAGGTGTCTAAAGCTGTAAAGAGAGCTGGGACTGGAGAACACTGCCGGGCATCTATCAGGACAGTTAAGCCCAAGGCTTTGCACTCCGACCTGAGGATGAAAGGAAACAGAAGACGGGCACTGTTGCTACCAATGCATGCAAGCTGCTCCCTCAATATCTCCCCTGCGGGTTCCTTCCCAATGCAAAGACTTCCTCCGTTCTTCCTCAGGCCTTCCCTAGGCTGAGTCCAGAAGCAAGTCTTCCTCTTATCTTGCAGGTCACAAGACTCAGGGCAAGCAGGCAGGCAGTCTTCACCAGGCCAGAGGCAATGGAACAGATTTTGTTAGTTTCTTATGGATAACTGTAGCTCCCCCACCAAGTTTCAAACTGTGCCATGAGGGTCTATAGTTATTTAAAGTACTCCGTGAGGAGATCAGAGTATATTCACACAGAACAGTAAATACAATATAGTGGTATATCTGACATGTAGTATCTGGGACTCCTGAAGAATCTCACTCGTGCAGAGCAATTCCTGCCCACAGGACACTGAAATATCAAAGCAAACTGAGAGCCACATCCATGATCCTCCACTGGCTGGCAATCTAGTCATAAAACTGTGTGGGTGAATTTTTGAAGCTCTCTATGGTAATAAGCATATTTTTTCTACTTATTTTCCCATAGTCATAGCAAAGTTTATTTGTCACCTACAGGCATCCCCCAAATTATATCTAGAGGACTCTAAAACTGATTTTTCAAAATGGCCCAAGCCCCAAGAAAGTTTGGTATTTCTGTCTAAGTTGCCAAAATTTGACACTTATGACCTTGCCATTAAGCATTCAATCTATATTCATTTTAATACCCATAATATGGATTATCTGCACTATCCCCACAGACCAATGTTGGGCTCTGGAACACAGATTGAAAACCATTGTAAGAAATAGCTTCATACAGAAACTGTTTTGTATTTATATATTCCTCCCATGGCTATGTATATTTCTGAAGAAACATAGGGAAGAGGAAGTGATCAGGGTCTTCTAACAGAAACTATAGCCATGAAGGGAGGGACATAAATATTGGACTAGGAGACACTTAAGGGAACACCTAAGCCACCAGTCAAAGCATCTGTGCATAAAACAACTTAAGCAGCATTTTAAAATTGGATTCATACAAACTCCCCTTCAGACAACTATGAGAGATGAAAAAGATAAGCCATGAGCTAACAGAACAGTTATAGTATTACGTGTAGCAGAAGACTTGCTGACCATATCGGTCTTTCCCCTTTCCCCTTCCCCAGCCATCCCACAAACCTGAGAATGCTGTAGAAATACAGGAGAAGACGTGTTAGTTCGCTGGCATTGCAGTCCGGGCATACCCAAAATGTATTCCTCATTGTGATGATGACCACCGCATGTCCGTATTTGTCTCTGGTACCTGAGAAAAAGGCTCGATTTAATTTGTCTAATTAGGCAAAAATTATGACCAATGAACTGGCCCATGGTTTGCCTTCTAAGGAACAGAGAAACAGCTTTTTCCAATGTATGTCATGAATGAATGAATACAAACAATTCAAAGTGTTTGGAATAGCAGGATGGTAGAAGTTGAAAGTGACTAGCAGAATAGGAAAAAAACAAACTCAGACCTACACAATCTGGTTCTGAAAGCAGAATTTGACTCTTGAGGGGCCCATATAGACTGCCACTTGTTTTCTTAAGTGGCAATTCAAAGACTTCCAGATCTTCACTGAGAGTAGAGCGGTAGAGAGTCAAAAACTATTTTAGGGTGCATGGACTGGCCGCTGCCCCAGGGGGCCATTCAGGATAGTTCTGCTTACAGATCCACGTGTCTACTGCTTCACTCCTGCAAGGACCGCTGCAAACATCAGCTCCTCCTGTCCTTCCTTAGACACCCTCGCTGCCCACTTCTCCTCTGTAACAGGGGAAGTCCAGACCATGGTTGTCCTAGGAAGGTGGGATCCCTCAGCAGCGCAGAGGCTCTTGCTACTTGTCTGTGGAGGGGCCTACACTCTGTGTTCCTGTTTTTAGTGCTAAAAGCTGAGGAGGAGGTGCTCAAAGACCCAATCTACAGTGAGAAACTGAAAATGCTTCTCATATATACAAATAACTTTCTCTTTGCTCTTCACAAAGCATAAAAAACAGCAACAGCCCACAGAGGCTTCTCTAGGACATGGTCTTTACCTGGCAGGCACGCAACCCCACTCCGAAGCATCTCCCAATTCACACTCTGCATTGGCAAGGGGGCTGTTTCCAGAATTCCACTGGATGGAAAGAATGGGAGTTCTGGTTGCACAGCCAAGGGTAGGTCTTTTTCTCCAGAGCCACAAGGAGTGGTCAGTACCAAGCTACTGTTGCCAGTTCCTTCATTAGCATTTTCTGTCCCATTCAATGATGTTTCTGTAAAAAGAAACAGCTTTCAATGCTATATTTTAATTACTTCCATTTGCATTCAGAGGGAAAGTAGCCATTTATTTATCCTGTCCCTTTGCAATGGATCTAAACTGGTAATGACAGTTAAAAATAAAACAAACCCAATGAGGTCTACCTTCTGTGATGAAATACCTCTGCTTTGACAGCATCCCTCTTGCTATCACAGAGCTGTCTGCATCTGCTGCCAAACACTCTGGTTAGCTTGCACACTTGGAAACTTATCCTTCTGTGCACCGCTGTGTCAGGACAAAAGCATTTGCCAGCTCATGTCTCTTTGCTCTTTGCACTGGCATTGGAGATGTTGGCTTCCTACCACACTTCTTGCTTCCCATACTGCAGCAAGCTGCTTGAATGATAGATTACTGTTCCAGAGGTGCCCTACACCAATAACCTGCCACTTGGGCTATTTCTGAAAACAGAACTACCAATCTTTTGAAAGCCAAGAAGGGATAAACCTATCTATGAGTCTATCAACCTTCTTTAAAACTGGTAACTTCTGTCCAAAAACAGCCCAGTCAACAGGTTGATGGGGGAGGTGTGTGGGAAAACTCACAAACTTCCTCCAGCCCATCGACCTGTCAGCTGGCATACTGTACTAGTGTATAAAAATGTATTTTGAAGTTGGGCATTCTCTGAATGAATCAGGTTTGCTGATTATTGTAAACACTGAAGAATTTTGTATCTGCATATCTGTTTCCCCCTCTTTTTCTATGTTAATCTTAAAAATAATCTTTAAAAATTGAACGTGGGAGTGTCCAAAGGGGTAATGGGCAAGAGAGATGCTTTCTGCTTTTTCCAGATGAAGCCCACCCTATTCCGGACTCATTTGGGCTAAAGGAAAATATAGTACTCAAATATTTTATGAATCCCAATGTATCAAGGAGCCAGAAGATTAAACAATGCCATGTACATTTTAAGTCTAGAGGTTCATGCAGGAATTCATAATCATATTTTTTTTCTCTATGTGGATAAATGCTCCTAAAAACTAGGAAACATCCTCCAGCAACATGTTTTATTTTATTTTATTTTATTTACAGTCCCAGAACAATAAAACACAAATACAAAATTTAAAATACAAGAAAAAACCCCCAAACCTTAAACAAATAATAACAAGAAGAGGCTATCAACCAGCTTCTGCAAATCATTACTACTGATAGAAACTTGGCAACCTTTTAGTGGTTGTCCAAGTTAGGTCTTGCAGGAAGATTGTATTTTCTTCATCAGAAAGGTGCCTAAAAGTTCAGATAATTGGGTTTATGAGTACCAGATGCCATGGGTGGTACAATGAGCAGTGTAGCAATATATGGATTATTGACAACCTCTGTATCTGAGCAGAAACACATATGATTGATGTAGACTAGAGACTAGTATTTGCCTATAGTGCACCAATTCGAGCCAAGGTAAAAAGTCTCCTATGTGAAATATGTCCGATGTTACAAAAGTACCTAAGAATGGAGAACCTGCAGTTTGTGCCATAATAGGAATGGACTGGCCCTGTTATTTTGTAGATCTAACAAAGAAATGGTTGAATGTATCCATTCCCGTTTGTTGTTCTCTTGGACTGGAACCATATTTAGGTCAGTACGTGTGTTGTTGAAGTGAAAAATCATTGGGCAGTGATTTTGAGTTCTGTAGTCTAAACCTGGATGATAAGGGTCTCAAAATCAAGCCCCGGGTCCTAAGGAATTGGGCATATTTAGCTTCCAAAACAGAAGACTGAGAGGAAATATAGCAGTACAGGTAGTCCTTGCTTAATGACAGTTCGTTCCATTCAAAGTTCGCAACCATTCAAAGTTATGGTGAGATGAATGAATGGTACTTATGCACGGTCTCCGAAGTTATGGCCATCACAGTGCTCCTGCAGTCACATGATCAAAATTTGGGCACTAGGCAACCCGCCTGCACTTACGACCGCAGGGGTGCTTCAACTCCCCCTGCTTATCTCCCCTCTCATCTCTGCCCTTTTGGCTGCCCTGCACAGTGGTACTCCTCAGTGGCAGTGTTGCTGCTGCTGTGGAGTGCCGCCTCAAGCCCCACACCACGGCCAGCCACCCCAGCGCCAGAGGGCAAAGCTCCAGCCACCGCCGCTGCCCTGCACTCTGCAGGTCCTGCTGCACCCAGTTGGCCTTTGCCGGCCTCCTCTGATGCTGACGACACAGCCCAGCCTGGCCCTATGTGAGGCAACTGCTGGCTGTGCTAGGCCTTCTTCCTGAGGCCATTCACGCCTTTCTCCAAATAGCATGTGCCATTCTCATGATGCTTCAGAAGGGCTTTCTGAATTTGCAATTTGGAGGGCAGCTATATAAATTTACCAAATAAATAAAAACTTCCAAGATACCTTTAAAGATATTTCCTATTTATCCTCTAGGACTGGATGATGAGATTAAGTCAGCACTCTGATCTTTACCAAGTCAGTAGGCTACAGGGTGTACATACCAATAACAATGAAGGATAGTGAACTATCATACAATATTCTTGATTTCACTTGCTAACAAACTAATGCCTAAGGTCATCCAATGCAGATTAGAACCCTACATGGAAAGAGAGATGTCAGATGTTCAAGCTGGCTTTAGAAAAGGCCAAGGAACAAGAGTCACTATTACTGATGCATGCAGGATAATTGAGAAAGTCAAAGAATTCCAAAAATAAGTCAATATGTACTCCATTGATTATTGAAAGGCCTTTGATTGTGTTGATCATGTCAAGCTGTGGAATGTCCTTAAGAAAATAAGAATTTCAGAACATCTCATATCCTCATGCAAAACCCAGAACATCTCATAGTCCTTATGGCAGGACAGATTGAACATGATGAAACAGATTGGCTCCAGGTCAGCAAAGGAGTGAAACAAGGCTGTGTACCTTTTCCTTATTCATTCAACCTATATGCTGAATATATATAGAAGGAGGTTGGATTGGAAGAAGATGAGTGTGGTTTCAAAACTGGAGGAAGAAACATTAATAATCTGCACTGTGCTGATAACACTATTCTGGTAGCTGAAAATGCAAGCTTTAGTAATGAAAGTTAAGGATGCAGTGAAGAAGTGAGACTACAATTAAATATAAAGAAGACCAAACTAATGACAACAGGTCTAGCAACCAACCTTAGAACTGACAATGAAGATATTGTTTTTATAATACAGGTAGTTCTCGAGTTACAACAATTCATTCAGTGACCATTCAAAGTTATGACAGTGCTGAAGGAAGGGACTTACACCTGGTCCTTGAAGTTCTAGCCATTGCAGCACGTGAACAAAATTGGGGTACTTGGCAACCAGTTCGCACTTACGATCGGTCTTAAAAATAATCTT